AAAAAAAAAAAAAAAAAAAAAAAAGGAAAAGAAATAGCTGTAGTATAACAACAGGAAACTTTTGGTATCTGAGGAATATTTTCAAACAGAAAGTACTCAGAAGATCCTGAATTTCAAACCCAAATAGGACATGCAAAGCCCAAAATTTAACCACAATTAGCGGAAAGAAACACAGCCCGGAGGCACCCGACAAGAAAACCAATCCTGCTACAAATCACCACAGTGAAGAGAGAGAGCAGCTCTGCACATTCTCAGAAACGGAAAGGTTAGTAGAAGAAGGAAAATGAAAGCCAAGAGGACATGACAACTTGGGTCTTTAAATAGTTTCAATTAAGTATAAGAACAGCAATATTGAAACTCAGTTAAATAAAATAAGCAAATCCTGTATAAATAAAGTTCCCTGTGAAGGCCGTTGCTATCGTGTGCTTGCCCTGGCAGGCACTGGGCAAGTCCAAGGGGTCTGTGTGTGTACCCCGCAGCTTCCCCGCCCAGCAGCCCCCCTGCCATGGTGTACTGGCCACAAGCCCTGGGTCCCTGGGCAGATACCAATCAGATTCCATATGCGCAAACTGAGAAAGTGGCCTGCAGAGCCTCGATTCTGTGAGGCAATGGGTAACAGTTGGCATCGGCAGCGAGCCTAAGCTGAACTCCACCTCTTCTGTCTTCTATATAAAGCTGTGTCAGCCATTCTCAAACACTCCATCCCTGGAGAGGTGGGCACAACGTAAGGGGGGTGGGAGGGGTGGATAAGGTGTGGACTCAGGTACATAGTGGCAGGGATTGGAGCCGGAGAAGGAGAAATTGTAAATGTGGATTACAACACCCCCGTTTAAGAAAAGCAAGATCTATACTGACCTGGGATTGTAGCTCAGGATGCTTCCAAAGAAAAACTTTAAACAAGCCACGTCCTCTTCAACCAATGGTGCTGAAACAACCGGATATCCAAAAGACACAAAATGCAGCTGGACCCCTACCTCACACCATATGCAAAAATGAACTCCAAATAGATCAAGGGCCTAAATATAAGAACTAAAACCATAAAACTCTTAGAAGGAAACGGGGAAATCTTCATGACATTAGATTGGCAGTGGGAGCTTGGGCATGACAGAAAAAGGATGGGCAAGAAAAGAGAAAGATAGATAAATTGGACTTCATCAAAATTAAAAACTTTTGTGCATCAAACGACACTCACTATACAGTGAAAAGACAGCCCACAGGATGGGAGGAAATATGTGCAAAACATAAATCCAGAATATACGGAAAACTCCAACTCAACAAGAAAATAACAAACCACTCAATTCAAAAAGGAACAAAGGACTTGAATAAACATTTCTCCAAAGGAGAGATACACGTGGCCAACAAGCACAGGAAAAGATGCTCAATTCACTAGACATCAAGGAAGTGCAAATTAAAACCATGGTCAGATACCGCTTCACGTTACTGGCATGGTTATTATCAACAAACAAACAAACCAACAAACAAACCAAGAAGGAAAATAACAAATGTGGGGGAAATATGGAGAAACTGGAACCCTCTGGTATTGCTGGAGAGAACGTAAAATGATACAGTCACTGTTTGGAAAACAGTTCAGTGGTTTTGCAAAAGTTGAACAGAATTCCCATAGGACCCAGCAGTTCTATTCCTAGGTATCTACCCAAAAGATGCAGAAGCAGAGAGTCTGACAGACAGGTGCACATCAATGTTCACAGCAGCGTTATTCACAACAGCCCAAAGTGTCCATCAATGGATGAATGGATAAACAAAATGTTATCGATACACACCATGCAATATCATTCAGCCTTAAAAAAGGCATGAAATTCTCACATACGGTACAACATGGATGAACCCTCAAAATACTATACCAAGTGAAATAAGCCAGACACGAAAGGGTAAATAATGTATGATTCCACCTGTACTGGATCCCCAGAACAGACCGATTCTCAGAGACAGAAAGCAGACCAGAGGTTATTAGGGCCGAAGAGGAGAAAGGAATGGAGAGTCACTGTTTAGGGGGAAAGAGAGGCCTACTAGTGGCTTCTAGAATTGTGTCCACAATACATAAAAGAGTTTCTGTTTGGGATGAGGAAAAGGTTCTGGAAACAGATGGTGGTCATGATCACACAACACTGTGAAGGCATTTCACGTCATGGAACTGTACACTTAAAGATGGTTCAAATGGTCAATTTTATGTTATTTATATTTCACAACAATTAAAAAACCATAGTGAACAAAGAAATTGGTATATCTGTTTTAGGTATGTATACAGTCTATAGATAAAAAGACTGAAATAATACCCAAGCATCAAAAGAGAATAAGGGACCATTTTATTAACTGATATGAAATAATCTTCAGGACGTAACGAATGAACAAAAAAGCAAGGGGTTGGGGAAAGGAAACAGATGCAGTATTTTTTTTTGACCTCTGTGATTTTCTCAAGAGCTCCTGGGCCTTTCCACTGGGCCTCCCCGAAGCCAGCAGCTTGCAGCCGGAGCACTGCATCCACAACACCGGAGGACACTCCCAACGGCCACCTGGGGCAGGTGAGCAGTCCGCACACCAACCCCGACCACACAGAAGACACTCCCGGCTGTGTTCCTAAAGAGACACACGACACAAACCCAGAGGCACACACAAGACACAAAGAACAAGGGCGACCACATCACTCACCAATGGTTCCTAGCAGCCTGCCCCTGTCTCTGGAGATCGCCACGCTTAACTCCAGCGATGAACTAACGGCCTTCCTGGGCAAATGTCTCCCGGCTCTGATGCGCGGAGCCCCAAGGACGCCCACGCCAGCCCGCCAGTGTCCCTGAGCACACGGCCCAGCAGCAGCAGCCATCCCACTTGGGCGAGCTGATGCATAAATGAGGCTCAGAAGCATCTCCTCCTTCGCGAAGGGCCGGAGGACGCAGCAGAGAAGTGTTGCCTTTCCCTCCTGCAGCGGGAGGCACACGGGGTTCCAGACCCCTGCTCCCCGGCTGCTCCGTGGGGCGTGGTGCTCAGGCAGCAAGACTCGACTCCGCTGCGCACCTGGAACAGTCTCTCATCCGCGTCCCACAAGTCAGTGTGACGGACACCTCGTCTTTGTTTTTCATTTACAGACCCTCCTTAAAAGCACAGTCCTTACCCCAGCTTGCGTGCACAGGCAGAAAACAAGCAGAAACTGAAGACCCTGAAATCAAGATTGGCTCAGCTTCTGGGCTGCTGTGGACTTGACCTCGGGGCTGCTGTTCTACCTAAGGGTGTCCTGCAGGGGACTGCGCCTGGTCACAGGATGGGAATCAGGATACGGGGCCTGGACACAACTCCCCGGAGTGCACTCTGTGCCCTGCGGGCGCCTAGAGACCCACGGCCCAAGTTCAAGGGCAGGCCCCGCCCCGCCCACACCTCCTGCGTCTGCTAGCAAGCATCCCACAGGCCGCCTGGGTGGCCAGCACTGCCTTATTAGTGCTTCACCTGCACGCCCACCACCCAGGGGCCCAGAAGGCCCGTCACTTCTTCTGCTGAAGGTGAATGCAGGCCCACCCCAGGCCCGTCCACCGGACCCCTCACTGCACATCCCTCAGCGGCTGCCGCCTTCCCAAGCCATCCTCTCACGTGCCCACTAGGGACGAAAGCTCCCCGAAGACTTCCTGGAGGCCATGATTTTTGCATCGCCCACGTGTAGCAGGGCTCAAATACTATCTGCCAACTGCCCGAATCACCCATGAAAAAACCGGAGGCCCAAGTTCTTTCTTCTAGTAACCCCAGAGGAGCCGTGACACAGACCCGAGCCTGCTAGCTAGTAAACTGGGGACTGGGGACAGCATTTCCTTTGTTTCCGGCCCCTCCTGATGACACAGGAGGAGCACTGCCAGGGCGCCCCAGCTGAAAAGGGCTCCACAAAAAGAATATCAGGATGAATTCAGCCCAGGGACTCTCGGAAGATCTCTAGTGCCGATGCAAAAGCCTTAGAATGAGGTTTACAGAACGCTACAGGAAGCCTTAGGATCCGAAGGGTGAGGGTTTCAGAGAGGCTGAAATACGCACTGAAACCTCACACACAGACGACCCATTGGAGGGAGGTAAATATTCCTGATGATGAAGCCATCGTATCAATCAGACAGAAGAACGGGGTGAAGAAATGCAAACATTCCAGTACATAAACCACATCTGTGCCCAGCACACGCCTCAACAACAGAATGTGCGTTTGTGGAGCTCGGTGCCCTCGGAGAAAGGGCCTCGCCACGAGCACAGCCAGCCGCCCCCGCTGCACCTCCGACGGTGGCCTGAGCTGGCCGGGTGTCAGGAGCGGTGGCGCTGGGCGTGCTGTTTATGTCGGATCCAGACAACGCAGGGTTTATGACGATTTACTGACGCAAGAGCTCCCCGACGCTGCGTGCCAGAAATTAATCAGGGGAGGAGGAATTCCTTTTAAGAAACCACTTGGCAGCCACTGCCCTGCCTGATGGGCTGAGACTGTAAGCTGAGCTCTTCCTCCAGGCCCCGGGCCGCCAGGGAGCAGCAGCCCACCCAGCACCCACAGGCCACAGGGTCAAGCTTGGGTGAAGCTCACGGGCAGGGAAACCAAGGGCCCCGCCGGCCCCAGACGGGGAGCCCTGCCGCAATGGCTGGCCCTGCCCTCCACTAGACAGAAGCCAGGGCTGTGCCCCGGCCCTCTCTGGGCCCACGCCACTCCAGAAGACCACGTTCTGACATCCAAGTAGACTCCTGCCGGCTGAGCAGAGCCTGCGGCAGGTTCTCCTATCGAGAGCTTGTCACGTTGGCAAAATGCCTCTCTCAAGAGTTGGGTTTTACACGTTACAATCCCTATCACCAGAGAGAAAAACGTTCAAATACACACGTTTGGCCCTGGTCCCTGGTCTCAGTGCAGCAGGCCTTCCTGTGGGCCTGAGAGTCGTGCGCCCAGGCAGGCAGGGGAGCAAGGCCACACCAGCCCCCGTCCCACGGACCTCTCTGTGCCCCTCCTCTCGCCGGGCTCCCCGGCAGCTCACAGCCCCTCTCTGTGCCGCCCGTGCCCCGGGACGGTTTGGTCCAGGCGGGCAGCTGGCTCTAGCTGGGGGACAGGAGGCCGCTGGCCTGACATGCAAACACCCTCGCTGGAATCTGCTTTGAGAAATGATGTCAGCTATCCTGAAGTTTCAAACATTAAAAGACACAGGTATTTATGTTTATCAAAAAGGGCCTGAGTCTGACAGGGGTGACTAAAGTGAAACTTGCCAGATGCTCTGGGCTGGGCGCTGGGCCCCCGAGGGCTCTGGGTGCCCTGACGAGGACGATGGCTCCCATCCCGGGCACACCGGGCCCCGGGCTGCACACCTGCCTCTGTTAATCCTCCCCCACCCCGGGGCCAAAGCTTCTTCCCCGCAGGTCCTCAACCCTCAAAGAGAAGCCAAGCGCAGAGGGAGGGGCGCCAGCCACCCAGGGAGGGCCAGGGTCTGCGTCCCACAGCCCACTGCCGGAGGCCACGCACAGAGCAGAGCGGAGCTGGCAGAAGGATGCTGTGAGGTCCTGAGTGCGGCGTACCGGGCCCCAACTCGGGCCCCCCTGTCACCCAAATGCCACCATCCTTCCGGCTGTGGTGGGGACGGTGAGAGGGACAAGGGCAGCCAGGCCTCTGCCGTGCTGCCACCCGGAAGGCACCGCCGCCGCCCCTTCACGAACGAACGACCTACCAACTGCCAACCCCTCCGGCGAAGCCCCCGCGTGTCACGACGGCGTGTCACCCGCCACCATGGGTGCTGGCTTCGGCGCCTCCCGGACCACACGTGGAGGCTTGTTTGTGGGGACTCCGGGGACCTGGACGAGGTACTCCAGAGGCCGTGGCAAGGGAGGAGTTCCCGTGCAAGAGCAGGAGCCACCCTGGCCAGCGGAGGTGGCACATCCCGCCTGGTTCCCAAGGCCTGAACGAGGACCGCCGGGGGTCCTCACCAGCTGCCCGGATACGGGCCTCGGCGCCCGTGCTGGGCATCCAGGGCTGCAGGAGGCCACCAGGAGGAGTGTAGCCACGCTGGTCTGCCTGGGCTCTGGCCCTCTGTGACCACCACACTCAGCCACCCTTCCAGGCGTCTGTCCACCACGAAGTAGACACGGGCTGCCATTAACCCCGAGGAGGGGCAAGCGCTCCCACGTCCGCTAACCCTCGCACTTGCTATGTCTAGGGAGGACTCGCATTCCAGCAAGGCAAAATAACTCTTTGACTGCAACGCTGTTTGAGATGGTCATAGGGCCTCACCTCCTGCGGGGAGGAAAATGCTGGCTTCCTTAAAAGTAGCACTCTGTAATTCAATTATTTGCAGGTAAAATCATATTTGTTTTTAAGTGATTTAAATTAGCAACTATAGGAATAAAATGTGCTTCTTTGTTATAAGCCAAATGTTATAAACCAAACACGGCATTTATAACCTGACTATATTACATGAAAAGCATGGGTTACAAAACAGAAAAGGTAAATTTTAATGTGGAAAAGCAGATTCCACCCACAGCCTCCCCTGACCCCAAAAAGCCATTAAAGGAGAGAAGCTGTCTTACACCCCTACCCCTACATATAAAAATTCCCAGGCAGTTATTTGCTGACCTGTGGCTTATTTCCAACCTTTCCAGCCTTGGCTGCCACGTGAATGTGAGAATCATGGAATCTCAGAGGCAGAAGGAACTAAAATATCACTTAATATCGCCCCCCCCCCCACTTGACATATGATGAAAAGGAGGCCGAGAGAGGCCTGGTGCTGCATCTGAGCTCCGCTCTGCCGAGCGGGGAAACCACTGCTGGTGTAATCATGACATTAATGGCATGAAAAGCAATGTCCTACAAAATATTTCTCAAGCTAAATCTAGAATGAATTTTCCATTCACACTGGGGGCTTGGTGAAGACCGAGGGGAGGGGGAGGAGAAGGCAGACTGGCCGGAAGGCGCTCACCGAGTGCGCTGCACTCAGACAGGGGCACCTGACATTTGTAAGGTGCGACATCAATCACCTCATAAAATATCCGAGGAAAAGTGCTGCAAGAGCAGCTAGAGGCTGCAGGTATGTTTCAGTCCACTTTAAAATACGCCCAGCAGTTATTTCACTGAAATGGAAAGGTCAGTGCAAACCCGGACGGTCACCTGGGAAACCTTACACACATTACGTGGCACCGATAAGGAAACCTCATCTTCCACTTTGGCTACAGCGAACTAGCTCATGTCGGGCCAACGCTGCCGCAGACTGGCTAACGTGAAAAACATACGTAGGTACTACGAAGGCTTTGCAGTCGGAGAGCTACCAAGGCAGCCAGGACTTGACGGGCCAAAACAAGAGAGAGAAGGAAAGAGAGAGGAGGGCATATTTTGAGCCCATTTTCCCCGAGAGGCATTTGCTGACACATAAGCTTCCACCAGGAGGGTGAGAAGCCAACCTTGGGAAGTGAAATGGGTTCAGAGCCTGCCAAGGGGGCTGGTTCACGTAAACCCCCGGGGCTCCCAGCTGGGATCCTTACATACTAAGAGTAAAGTACAAGGAGAAGACCGGCCCTCAGGGAAACTGAAATCAGACACTTCATAATAAAATGGTGGTTATTCCAACAAGAAAGTATAAAGTTCTAAATTTGCATGGGCTAAAAATAGCTTCAAAATACACAAAAGCAAAAACTGACAACGAAAATGAGAAATAATACCAATCCACAATTACAAAAAGGGATTTTAAAATATTCTCAGTAACTGACAGAAAAAGCAGACAATAAAATCAGCAGAGTGACAGAAGATCTGAGCATCATGATTAATAAATTTGACTTGACGTATACAGGACTGACAATCTTAATTGACATATCCTCTTCAAATATATAAAATATTTAGGAAATCGACCATACAATGATAAAGCAAAACTCAAAGAATTTTCAAAA